CCCCAAAGATCCAGTTGAGAAAGCCGTTGAGGAGCCAAAAGAAAAGAAGGTTGAAGAGGCCCAGCCTGCACAAAAAGTGCCTGAGATTGTTGAGGAGGCCCCACCTGAAGAGACCCAGCCAAAGAAAACTGTGGAAGAACATGTCAAGGAAAGCGAGCGTCTGGAGATGCTGGAGGACTCACAGGTTGTGGAACCCTTCCCTTCAGAGAAACGATGCTTAGAGAAAGATCTGGAGGAGGCTGCAAAAGATGATCCCACAGCGGCACCTTCTACCAAAGTGGATGCACCTGAAGGTAATATGACCACTGGTCGTCCGAAGGTTCTTGATGAAGTCAAGCCGATTTCGCCACAAGAGCAAAATCGGAAAACGGAAAAGGAGGAGGAAGAAGAAGAAGATGATGATGATGATGATGAGAAGGAGGCTTCACGTGGACGCAGAGGTCGTGGCCGTGGAAGAGGAAAAGGACGTGGCAAAGGAAGAAGCAGTCAGGCAAAGGAGAAAGCAGAGCCAAAGGCAAAAAGGAAGAACAAGAAGGATCAGGAGAATAGGAAGGACGAGGACCCAGAATGTGATCAGGAGGCTGATGAGGAATGTATGGAGGACAAGGCCGAAGAGCCTAGCAGGAAGAAGTGCAAGGAGCAAACAAAGAAGAATCAGAAGGTCAGTAGCAAGACTGAGAAGCAGAAGGAGCTGGCTGACAATGGGAAGGTTACAAAGAAAGGAAGACATAAGAAAGAGGAAGAGGAAGAGGAGAAGGCGACGCCAGAAACTGGTGATGGTGACAAGAAGAAACGCAAGATGAAGGAGGCCACGAAGAGCGTGGAGAAGACAAAGGGGAAGGACCATGCGGAAAAGGAGACAAGGAAGAGGAAACACGATGAGGAAGAAAATGCAGACGACAAGGAGGACTCGGCTGAGAAAGCAACAGCAGCTAAAGCAAAGAAGACAAAGGGCAAAGAGACTTCGGAGGAAGGCAGGCTGAAGAAGACACCGAAGAATGAGGAGGTTGAGGCAGAGGCAAAGGAGGAAGCAGAGGAAGGCAATAAGAAGAGAGCCAAGAAGAAGAAGGAGATCTCTGAGGAGGAGCTTGCTGAGAGGAAAGCAAAGCAATCCCGAAAGAGTTCGGCCTACCATACTGCGAAGCGCCAAGCCACCAAGGATGGTTTAAGCAAAGAAGAAATCGAGAAGAGAGCCAAAGCTGTCGGCGCCCCATATCAGTAACACTCTGAAGCCAATTGATTCTTACTTTTGGTGTGGCCCAGGCCTACAAGGATACCCAGTGAGTACGCTTTCACTGTTGATGGCTTAGCAAATGGCTGCCATCCAATTTGCCTAGGGGTATCGCACATGTGTGTGGTGAACCTTGAGGGTTTGTAGCTCAGAAGCACAATCCCTGCCAACTTCGTTCTTGATCACATGTGCACATGGGAGTGTTGAAAAGGTATGTACTTTCAAAGATGCCTCAGCTGCTTTTTCAACACTGTGTGCATGCACCGATGCGCAATTATATATAATTCTTCATCTAATGCCTTGGAGGTGCCCAGCCCATGCCAAAGACAGAGAACTGGGCATTCAAATTTGGAGGCTGGTTCCAAGCATCGTTCATAGCACCTGATCCGGCTGTCCTTCTGTCACAAGAGCACCAGAAAGGAACTTGCCTGACTTGATCTATGCATGCGTCTAGCATTTTGGATCTCCAGCACTGCTTTAGTTCTGAATCATGGAGAGCGTTTCTGAGTCTGTGGTGGTCAGTCTGATCCAACTGGGAGCGCCCAAGGCTAATGTCTTTTCTCTACAAGTCAGAATGGATATAATGCGCATATTTTGGTGGATGCAGTTCAACTCATAATCATGCATGTGATACTTGCACCCCTGACAGATATTTATCGGGATTTGCCTTCTGCTCATGTGGTCGGAGAATCTTCCTACGGTGGAGCCAAACAAACCTCGCTTCCAATTCCTTGACCTTTTTGCTGGAGTTGCCAATGCAACTAAGGTTTGGTGCACTGGCCAAAATAGCTATGCTAATTTTGCGGATGTGATCGACCAACCATTTTGCCCATTTCTTTTTGATCCCTGCCGCCTCCCAGGAAAGCTGCTGGGTATGCTTGCGCCACTGTCGATGAGAATCGGCGGCCTGGAGAGCGGGTGATGGACTTTCTAAAGCCTGCGGGTTTTTTGTGCTTTACCTGCACATTAAATTGTGCCCATGTGAAGCCAATCAAATCGTGTATCATTCATCCCAACCAAGATTGGTGGTTCACATCATCCTATGTGAGTGCCCGGAAGCGGTGAACTTGATGGGGCCTGAATGCGGCTCATGGGGCCTCCCAGCACGTGGGACATCAAAACGAACCTTTTGTAATGCATTCGGAGCTATGCATTTGGATTTCGTAAGCCACGCAAATGAATGTGTGGCAAAGTACCTAGATTGCACCTGTGCATGATGTAGTTGTGGAAGGAGCCTTTTGCACTTAGCCCCAGCCTAGACTTGGTCTCAGGCTGGTTTTGTGCCTTTATTTGATCGTTGCCAAGCATGGCTACTTTGTTCTGGAGCAGCCGGCACAAAGCCTGTTGGTGAAAGCCCCCCGCTTTGAACACTTTGTGAACCATGTATGCTTTGCCCCTTGGTGGCCTGAGACTCGTGCAAAGGAATTTTGTCGAGGATCGTAAACATATATTGTCTACATGTGCATGTGCGGTCCTAGGTCTTCGTTACCAGATTCTGGATGCAACTGTTGGGCCATCCAAGCCCTAAACCAACAGTGGTCTATAGCAATGGATCATGGGTGAAGACCCTCGACCTTGGAGTCCTGAAAAAAGAGTTCCGCATCGCCAACACTTCCCTGAAGACAACCCGCCTGAGTCCTAGGGAAGTTCTAGGGAGGTTCTTTCAATTGATAATGCCATGTAAATGTCTATAAAATCGAAAGCACCCATGTCTGAGGCAAATACATAGACAAGAAGGGGGCCACCAAATTTCAAGGCAGCGGCGCTGGCTTGAAGGCATCTGCGTTCTACCCCCAGCCTGAACCAAGGGGGGGTACCTTTCATTTGTTTTTGCTGAGGTGTTACCCAGAGGGCTTTGCACGCCAGCTGATGGCTGGGTATGAGAACCGTGGGCCTTTTCCAGCACATGTGAGACACAAGTTCCCAGTAAACCTGAAGAAAACGGACCGGGAGTTGTTTGACCAACTACCTGTAGGAGACTGTTGGATCGATGCGCGCATGCCTGAAGTCTGGAGCTACATCTTTAATTCAAAGTATGTTTGCATTCCTGAAACCTGGAAAACGACAATGGACAAGTTCAACTTCGAGTTGCAAAACATCGTAGCTAGTCTGCAATGTGTGCTTGTTTGAGAGGGGTGGGAACGATATTGGGAACATGTTGGGACCTTCAGCTAGATGGGCCAGGTTTCCGTTCCAGAAGATGACCGCCAAGCATACAATGCTGATGTGCTGGCCTTGAATTCCGTGTAAGTTGAACATAGCCAAATTAGAGACCATGACTGTGCACTTTCTGCATTTGAGGGGAAAAATTGGAAAGTTTTCGTAGCGCAAAAACGTGCAAAACGAGCGCAAATCTGCACAAAATCCGCAAAACGAGCGCAAAATGAAAATCCGCTACCAATTGATTTCACTATTGTGATGCTTTCTTCACCACGCCAGGACATTCAGGATCATGTCTGGTAGGTTGAACTCCTGTAACACTCTGAAAGAGGGTTGCGCCATGGTTTTGGGTGAAGCGGTGAGCAAGGAAGACTTGCAAGAGAAGATCCAGGTCCGCCTTTGTTTTTCCAGCATGAGACCTTTTGAGTGGGGAAAGGATCTATTCATTTCTGTTCCCATTCCCTGGTCCTTGCGGAGGCCTCCAAAGCCAGGATCGCGGCTCTGCAGGCACGGATGGATAGCAAGAGCTCGTCCTCCACAATGCCTCAGACTGTGCCAGGCTATGACTAGCTTCGTAATTGCTGCTTCCTCTTTTTGTTGTTCTATTTTTGTACGGGTAGACTTGTGGTGGAGACCATGGGAGGAGCACCAATTATTGCTGCATCAACGGGGGCCTTTGTGGTTGGAAATGCTGTGCGGAATCTGGCTGACATGCGTCAGAAGTCTTTCGAATCCCATGAAGTCTCCCATACACCTGCCAAGGAGTCGGACCTTGCTACCACTGTCCCAGGTGATCCTTCTTGTTTGCGCAAGGCCGGTACAGTGCCCTACAAAGCGGATGGTGCTGGGAAAGCAGTTCCAGCAACCCCAGTGCCTGCTTCCAGGGGTGAAGCCGTGGAGTCCGAGGGTCTAAATAGGAAAAGCAATGGTGTACCCCAGGAGCCTTCTCATACTTTGGTGGACTCCCCTAGCATGATCATTGTGGATAGTCAGCCTGTTCCGCTGGCATCTGGTGATGTTGGGCCTGGAGATGGAGAGTCCCAGAAGGCTGATGGCAAAGGAGCAGTCAAGGCTGATGACATTCCCCTTGGGTATTCCCCTTCATCAAGGAAAACGTCTTCGACCAAGTCTGGTTCATCATCAGAAAAGTATGATCGCTTCTACCACCAGCTACTAGTCTTTCATTGGGGATGAATTGTTACCATGTGCAATGGGTTGAGAAACATGAATTTCACAGTGCCTCACTTCCAAGGATGCTACGCTATTGCAGGCCAAGGAAAGGTGCTTCCAAGGCTTCAAAGGAGGTCTTACAGTTGTGGAATGACAAAGAAACTGGAAGATTCTTAGATTGATCTAGGATAGATGCATGGAACATTGTTATGGCATATCATGGCTAAATGGGTTTGAACTACTTAATGGGTCCGAGGAGACAAGCTCAAGAGACTTCTTCAAGATCATGGGGACTTCAAGACCGTTGAGCTTAAGTTGTCCCGATGGCGTACTTCCAAACACACTGACAAAGCCAAAGGTCGGTGGTGTACCAAGAAGTACCTTGAAGAGGTATGTCACTACAGCAAAACCATGATTGAGAACAGCTTCCAGCATGCAAAAAAGAATGGCCTGTGGCGCAAGAACAAAGTACATGGAGAAGAGGAAGTGAAACTAGTCCTTGAAGAGACGTTTTGCAAGGCCGATGAGAAGGGGGAGACCTCGCACCTGGAATCGGCTGGAGACCTGCAGGAGCTTTTGTTGACTTGCTAGCCGTTTTTGTTGTTGGATGTTGTTGGGGTAAACAGCTTGGTGAACTAGGATGATGATGGTGTCCTTCTGGAGTCCCAGCTTGACCAAATGGACATCGAGCCAGAGGCCCAGACGCCTGAGGATAAGGATCGCGCGGAGCAAGCAGCGGCGGCAGCGGCAAGTGCTGCCTCTGGCGGCACAAAGTTACTTGGGTCTACCCAATTTGGATTTTGCAGGGTTGATCTAAATGCGAATATATGAAACTATATAGACCTTCCAAGTTGAAATGCATGTACCTAAAACGGACCCCATGAAGTTCGGATCTGCATGGTGCTCAAAAAATGGTGACCTTCCAGTTCGATGACTGCGGCTTTTGTTCCAAGGCTTGTCTTCCCGACGCTTCAGAAGAACGAGTCGGTTTTCACTATACTCCCACAGTATGTGAACATCCTGGGTCGTAAAGTAGATGCCGCTACAATCACTCAGGACCTGTACATGTGTGTGTGAATAGGGCGAGTGGCTATATATTTTTGAAGGATGGGGATATTTCCCAAATCTTCCCAAATCCTTGCCAGGAGAAATTGGCAGCCATGAAGGACAATGAACGGGCCAAGCAGCTCCCCAGCCAAAAGCATGTGCTCATGAAGGTCTCGTCCAGTGCAGTGTGTGCATACGTATACCTTGTTTGGTTGACCTGGCTCATCTACCAAGGCTGTGGTCTGCCATCAAGGCAGCTGTCGGCAAGATGAACGGTCACTACAACCAGCTGAATGAGAAACAAGCCGAATACCTCACGTTGGACCCGTCCAAGCCTGCCCCGTGGATGTGTGGTCTGTGTGTGAATTGCTTATCATTGTCAGCACTTAACCGCGCTAGCAAGTTCATGGGTGCCTCTGTGCAGGGACAATATGGAGAAGAAGAAGTCAGAGGTTATGCAGCTGTTTGCGCAGTGTACCAAAGAAGATGTTTCCTTGAACAATTTTCTTTCACGTGCACGGAGCTTCTTTTGCGTTTATGAACCGGTTTACTTGTAATCTAGTCAAGCTGAGTGCAATTTGCCCTACATGATGCTTGCTGATTATGTATGTGTCTAATTTGGTTGCTGGGTGTCCCGAGGAATGTCAAATCCAAATCTGATCATAGTGGAAGCGGCAAGAAGTCAAGTGACAAGGGCACTAGTGACAAAGGTAGCCGTGGGAAGGGTGACAAGACCAAGACCAAGCCCAAGCGGGCGAAGTCAGATGCACCGAAAGCTGCTTCTAAGAAGCAGAAAAAGCAGGAGAAGGATGGCGACGGTGATAAGTGAACATGATCTGATTTCTTTTCAAGGCCTTAAGGTTGGCTCTTGGTGTTTCCTGACCTTTAATGAATACGTACGTATCTCTATAGAAAGTTTCATATTATATTGTTTCAAGGCTTCATGCAGTTTCCATCGATCTCTGTGCAATTGCCAACCTGTACTTCCTTCCAATTAGCACTTTGGCCTGTGCGTGTTAATCAATACGTCACAGCCATCTAATCTAGCTAGGGGTTGATCGCAAGAAAAGGGAGAAAACATCCTGCTACTGCTGCACTGCTGCATGTGTTTTTTTGGTGGTGCATGCACAGTTTGGTGCTGTTAGATTGGCCAGGCCTGTGCCAATCCCTTCAAGATGGTGAGCCTGACAGTCCAGGCCTCTTTGTGTAAACCACATTGCTATGCAGGTACTAGTTCCATGCTCCGACGCAGGCGACCTGGACTCCGATGACTTGGCCGATGAGTTTGTGCGACAAGCAGAGACAGGGGTTCCTCGGTTTATATTATAGCCTATGCCATCTTAGACTGCAAGTTTCTGATTCAGCCTTGTGTTTTTCAGGCTACTTCAGCAAAGGCTGCTATCAGAATGTCGTCCAAAGCCTTTCAAAGAATGACCAGACTAGGAGAGGCTCTGATGTAGATGTTGCATACATGTGAAACTAACCTTTTGGCGCAGGAGTGACCGACCCAGATTTGGAGAAGTTGGCCAGCTACCGCTCCTCAAAGTCTGGGAGAAGTGGCAAGAATGCTGCACGTGACTTCCACCGGTATGCTCGCCGAGCTGGGAAAGTATTTGGTGTCAAGATTTCACAAGTCAAAGTCCCCATCCGAGTGAAGAAGCCCAACAAGAGTGGCCGGAAGATTAAGCGGGAAGAGATTGTTGACTTTCCCATTATCACCCTTTCTTCTTGGATGTGCACTATTCTCAGCTCCTGTCCACAATTTTTCCTGGGTGGACATGACCTAGAACAAGAGCAACTGTATGGTGACATGCTGCAGTCCTTTTGGGACCGATTCGTTGAGGCAAACCCTGAGCACCCCATGAAGGAGAAACCGTCTCAGCACAGACGATTCACTGTACCGGTGGCAGTGCATGGGGATGAAGGCAGAGGCCTTGGACATGTTCCCCTTCTCGTGGTCAGCTACCAAGTTGTGATCCCATACCACGGGGCCAATGAGTTGAACCTTGCAAAGACCTTTGTCAAAATTAGGTATGCTTTTGGTCCCTGGTTTACATTCTTGAAACAACATGTATAGGACATTATAGGACCTGAGATTCCTGCACCCTAGGCATTCATTCGCCAGCCGTCTTCTGTACTCCTTGATCCCAGCCTCGTGGTATGCTGCAAAGGACGCCAGCATTTGCAGCCTCAGCCAGGCATTGGCAGATGACCTCACTGACCTGTTTGAAACAGGGGTGCCCATTGTTTCTTGTTGGACACCTCAGTGGTATACATATTCTTTTGTTTGGTGGTTATGTTTGTCATTCCCTGAACAGATCCAAGTGGTGGAGCTGTGCCCTTAAGGATTGCAATGGGAAGACACGTGAATTCCATGCTTCGCTGGTTGCGTTCAAGGGCGACTGGCCCTGGCTCAGGAAGGCGGTGGCCTTGAAAACAGGGTTCACCTCAAAGAGGGTTTGTCATTTATGCCCCGGCGATGCACCCCAGCGTAATATTGCAGGTTTGTATATCTTTTTTTGAAGTGATTCATATTTGGAGAATATATATATGATCCTTACCCTTGGTCTGACCACCTGTGCAATTAAGGAATGGTGGAACATGACCAGTTCTGGACAAGCTCGCACATTTTCTCAGGAGATTCCGAACCCGTTCAAGCCAGGTAGGGTGTCCCCTCTCCGTGAAATCCCTGGTGGTGGGATGATTTCAACAATCAAGAGTGATATCATGCATATTTGGAATTTGGGAATCGGTGGCGATCTATCTGCAAGTACAATTGTCCTACTTTGTGAGATGGGTCAGTTTGCTGGTAGGGGGTTGCCAGCAAGAATGGATTCAGCATTCGACGCGTTCATGGAGTGGTGCATGATGAACCACAAAACACCGAGCACAAAGTCGTTTGAAAAGTCACGGTTCCACATGAAAAAGACCCTTGGACCCATTCAGTTCTTCAACCGTTTACTTGTGTTGGTAGCCTGCAAACTTGAATCGGTGTTTCCCTAGGTGCCCCCCCAGCCATCCAAATCAGGAACTCGGACTATCCTACAGGTGTTTCGCGGGCACATGATGTGGCATTGTTTTGCAAGTGGTTGGACGACTTTCTTCAGGGTGTATCCATGGACGATGTTGCTACGTAGATGCAATTGCCATCAAATACCTCTCCAAGTCACCGAAAGATATGTTATAGATGTACACAACACACTTTCCATATTCTTCCCCAAACTAAGGCTCCTCACTTCCGGGATATGTTGGAGGTTCTCAAATTTATCTTTGTCGAAGCCAACAAGTTCTTCAAGATTCTCTATCACGAGGGGATTTGGTTGCGCCAGGGAGCGGCAAAGGACGCAGTTGGACATGGGTATTCCATAGCTGATGCTTTGGCTTTATATACTGTCAAGCAACCCAGAAATATCAGAAATAAATATACTTAGGGAACATCGAATGTTTAGGTCTTGGCAGTTCCGGGTATGTCTCAGGAAGGCTACCAATGCTTGGCCCGCATGACTGCGGAGGGCGGGTACAAAATGTACCGAGTGAGGCCAAAGTTGCACCTATTCGTTCACATAGTGACTCTCGGCTAACCAGTTCTTGTTTGCTGTGTGTTGGGTGTTCATGTGTGAGCTCTTAGCTCTGAACCGAGGCGGGACTTGGAGAAAGACTTGGCTTCCAGTTGCCCTCACATAATGAATCCAATTAGAACCTTGACCTAAAGGTTTTCTGTCATCTCTTCCGAGTTCCTTTTGCACTAAACCAATGCCGCTTGTTGTTGCCTGCTCTATGCCTTTCACAAGGCTGGAGCTGCTGGAGTGATGAAGACTTTGTTGGAAAGATTAGTCGGCTAAGTCGACGCGTGAATGCCAATCGGCTAGTGGTACGTCGTGTAATGAGCTGCAGCTTGATGAGCTACAAGCGGCATTTTGATAAAATCAAGAACACCTGCACTGGGTGACCCGGCTGATGCGGAAAGCGCCAGCTTCTCCAGTGATGTGTGTGTGCGATTGTGAGTTCACGCGATCGGTGGTGGAAAAAAAGTGACCACCCACAAGAAGGCATGGATTGGGAGGATGGTGGGTTCAGATTAGGTATCGCTTAGGTGGCTCGTCCTTTTTTTAATGAAACGAGCAGTTTCTTCAAAACGAGCAGAAACACAATGACACGAGCAAGAAAGAAACGTAGCAAAAAATAAAGTAGCAATGGAGGCCCCTGGTATTATACCTAATACAATACCTAGCACTTCCAACAGGTGCCCTGTCTGGAGACCTGTTTACGTAGGGTAGGGTAGTCTATTGGACACCCAAACAGGATGATCCTGGTACCTATTATAACCTATTATTATATAATATATATATAACAATAATGCTGGATAATCTATTATATCCTATTACTATAATCTATTATTCATATATATATATATATGTACGAAAATATTCTATTATAATCTATAATCCATTATAATCCTGGATACCCATAATGATCCTGGTAGGGATTGGTGTCGAAACCCCAGGACCCCTCCATCTGATTTTTGCATGAACGTCTGGAATGAGCTCCTGGCCACTATTGCAGTCCTCGTTTCACTCCCAACGCCTAGCTGGGCCTTCCTACTCCCTAGTCATCCCTGTCGAAGTCCGACCTTGTCAAAGCCCAATCCGTGGCCGGGGTCGTTATGGTGGGCGCCCTGCTGTTCCATCAGCTTTCGCCAAGGAAAGGCGTTCCGCCTCGCGACGAATCTGACGAGGTGGAGAGATTGGCGGTGAAGGTGGGGGGTCAGCTGTACACACAACGTCAAAGCAGGGGACCCTCATTGACCAAGTGGACCACCGAAAATGAACCGAAAAAACCAGACATGGTCAACCATGGTCAACCTACATGGACGGTTTTCGCGTGGTCCTGTTGATTTGGCCATCAAGACCTCGAGGATGCTGCAGATGGTTTCTTCTTTTGCCTCTTTACAGTCATTGAGTCATTTCCATGCCCAACCTGTTCCTCCACCCCATCTGCTACCCACCTGAAGAGCCCGGCGTTTACGCCATGGAAAGGATGCTTCCAGGAGCCGAGCTGTCCTCAGCCGCAAACCACGCTTCAACAAAGCCCACAAAGCTCAATCTAGTGTCCATGTACAGTACTTGCCAAATGGAAGTAGTATCTGTTATTGTCTGTTTATTTGTGAAAGGTGTAGTCTTTGCTCGAGACCTGCCAGCTGGTTAGACCGCTTTCTACCGATACTCGAGAGTCCGTTTTTCAGCCATGGAAATTCTCTTTGATGGTCGGCTGGTCCCTCCTCCACGAGTTGGGTCTCGGTTCTCTAGTGTCTTTCGTCTGGATACTTCTGGTGACGATGAGCTGCTTCTTTTTGATCTTTGTGGAACTTCATGTTCCATTTCGGGAAGGCCTGTGGGTCTCGCCTTTCCGTGTGCGGGTTACGACCTTATGGTGGTTCAGATCAATCCTTTGCAGCTTCTCGCTGATGATGAATCCTGGTTCTCAACCGGTCTCTCCTCTCAGCTGCCAGGCTTCCCACGGAGCATCGTGGATGTTTGCTCAGGCATGGGATCCATGAGCTTAGGACCCAAGTTCCTAGGATGTGACACCATCGCCTACTTGGAGATCAACCAACTGGCCCTTGAGCACCTAAGACGCAATTCTTCAGCGCACATTGTGGCCGGCAACGTTTGTCTGGATGCGGACTTGAAGACACTGCACCAGAAGATCGATGGATGTCACTTTGCCCTTTGTTCAGGTTTTCCCTGTCAACCTTTTTCATTTCAAGGGTTACAAGGCCATCAGAGGGATAATAGAGCTTTGGTTTTTTGGGGCACCCTTCGAAGCATTCTGTTGCTTCAACCGACTTGCGCTTGGCTCGAATGCACTCCTGGCGCTGGAGCTGATCAAGGAGTACAAGAGGGGCTTCAACAGCTTTGTGCTTTGATGCGCTGGCAATGTCAGGAGCTCATTTTTGACTTGGCTGACCAGTGGCCTATGCATCGACGGAGATGGTGGTGCGCTTTATACCCCTCGTCCTGGACTTCCCTTCCTTTGCGGCCATGGACGAAGTTGGTGCCACCCATTCATATTGGGCATGTCCTGGACTCATGGGGGCAATGGCCGATGCATCATGAAGAGGACCTGCAGCTGTCCGCAGGTGAGTTGACCGCATATAGCAACATTGAGTTTGGATCAGATGTTCGTCTTCTACATGCACAAATGACAGCTCCTACTGTGCTCCATTCTTATGGCTGCGCGTTATCCTGTTGCCCATGCGGATGCAGGGATCGTCCCTTCTCTCCGACCTCCTTGCAGGCCAAGGGTCTTCGGGGTGCTTTTGTGATCTCTGAGGTCCACATGAACCCCCGTTTTCTTCATCCTGATGAGCTGGCCATATTGCTCTCCTTGCTGATGGGACAAGATTGGGCCATCCTTCCTCGCTCCTCGCTCTGCTTATTGGGCCAGTGTGCAGCGCCTTTGCAGTCCTTGTGGATTTTTGTGCAGATGCTCAACGCCGCTGCCGGCACATACCCAGAGCTTCATCGACTTGATCCTGAGGCCGTCATTGCGGGCTACAAGGCAGAGCTGTGTCGTCAGGTCCTTGACCGGTTCCCTTTTGCCGAGCCTCCACGTCCCAAAGTCCTTCGTCTTCTTTCGGACAACGGGGATGAGTTTTGGCTTTTGAAAAGAGGCACAGTCACGGTGAGCCAACTTCTTCAGGCCGAGCATATCTCTTTGGGATGGGGTGAGACCGTGTGCTGTTCAACGTCACTCGGTCAGCTGGCCAGGGATGAGGTCATTAATGAGGAGTTTCCTATCCAGCTTTGGCATCATCCCAAACGGCAGCGTCGAGATCCTCCTACTGGCTTGTTGGTCATTGGGATTGAGCACAACACCAGCTTATTCATCTCCTGTTTGGCTGCTGGATCCTTCTTGTTTGAAGCCTTATACGAACATCAGCTTCAGGATGTTGATTTTCTGGTCAATGAGGACGGCAAGATCTTTGGCAAGGACTATCGGGTTTGGGGTACTCTGCGCCTCAAGACCATCACCTCGGTCTCTTTTCCACGACTTGGTCCTTTGCCTATTTGCTCCAGAAGTACGCAGGCTTTTGGCGAGTCTATTTGCATTGATGATGGGCTGGCTGGGGATACAGTTTGGCGGGCCTTGACATCGCTCTGTTCCTCCTCTCTACAAGGGAATATTGCTGATGTGGTCCAGCTACATCCGGAGATCCTTGATCGCCTACGGCTTGGGCATATCGGTTGGCACCATCTCTCTGCTCTTCGCTATATGTGGCACCAGAGTGCTGGCTATGCTTTGGGTTGCTTCTCAGCAAATGGACATTGGGCCGTCCTCTGTTGCCGTCAGGATGGTGATGTCCTGCATGGGGCCTACTATGATGGTCTACCCAACCACCTTCGTTCCGTTGCTCATGGGCTCCTTTCTCACTTGGCTCACTTGCTCCGCTTGCAGCTTGGCCATTTCACCTCACATTGCCTGGTTCCTCAGATGCACAGCACCACCTGTGGTACAGTTGCTTTGGTGCACGTCTCGCTGCTCCTTGGTCTCCAGGGTGCTTTCACACCGGAGGACATCGCCACTTGGCATCGGTGGTTACTTCACACACAGCAGCAGTCTGATGCTTTGATTGCTTGCGGTTTGGAGGATCCGGTGATCAGCGAGCTTGCTACCCTGCTACACAGCAAGGGGGTGCCCATTGGGGAATGCAAGAATCGGGCAACTGCTGCCATCACGGCACTCCATCGGGGCCCTGTGCTCAATGCTATGGCTGCCAAGAATCCATGGCAGAAGTTGAAGGCACTTGCTTCGAAGCCCTCTACGCCCTTTCGTTTTCTGACTCCCGCTGAGATGTCCGACTACATTGATCAGCAGTCGAAGATGAAGCACGGCACTTCCTACAAGGAGAAGAAACACAAATCTGCTGCTCATTCCTCTCAGGCCAAGCCCCTGGAACTTGATCCAAAGCAGCTTCGTTATCTTCCTTCTCACTTTAAAGACCAAGATGGTGACGAAGTGCCTCAGATTGATTACTCCCAGGTTCTTTCCGGCGCTCGCGGGTTGGCTATCTGCACTCGTCGGGATGCTCAACCCTTCCTGGATGACTTTGCGTCCATCAGTGCTGATGCTTTGGGATTGCTCTTGACCAGTGAAGTGGACAAATCTGAGATGGGCAGTGCTAAGATCCACAACCTTCGTTTTCCAGTTACCTATGTCGGCACCGGTGAACAGATTTTGGTCAATGGGGCCCTTCTGCTTTTGGGTGATTTGGCTATCAATCGCCACAGATCCAAGGGACCCGACAAGGATCCTGATCATGAGCGATCGGTTGTCATTCGACTTCAGGCTTATCGGGATGAACTCCCACTGGACTGGACCACATTCATTCAATCCCCTCTGAAGCAGATTATCCACTTGGTACTTCCTTTGCAGACATGTGAAGGACAAGCCTGTGGGGCCAGCTGTGGCCGTTTTCATCCTGCAGTTGACGCTGCAGACTCAGCGGTCATCCACGAGATTTGGGCCCGACGCTTCTGCAATCTGGACTCCAAGACGGTTACTGCAGAGAATGCCGAATGCTTCTGTGCTTTTCTCCGCATCGCGGAGCCAGCATTGATTCAGGTTATCTCCACCAGCATCGAGGGCATCTATTTTGAACCTCGTGAAGAGACTGGCACGGGCTCACACAGTGATTTCCATGTGGTATGGTTGCCTCCTTGTTCCCGCCAGGAAGCTGTGCATAAATTGCGGACCGCCTCTACAGCTATCAGTTTGGTGCGCTTCAAGACCAAGTTTGGCATTCGTCTTCGCACTGGTGATGCGGAGGCTCTACATCTCAAGCTACGACCGAATGCCACCTTTTTCGCTGCAAAGCCTGCCGCGTTGTATCGGGCCCATCCACTTCCACATGGTTTGGATCGCAAGGCCATGGCGAAGCTTCTTGGTGATTGGGGTTGGAAGAAGGCTCGACCGCTGCAGCCTACCAGGGGTTCCTCCATTGGTGGCGCTTGGCTCATTGGTGCCGATGAAGAGCCACCTGCATCAGTTGTGACAGCCTTCAATCAGGACGTTCTCCTGAACCTCATCCCGACTAAGGACACGGTTGTGCAGCCTGTTCCGTTCTTTGCCTCCAAGCGCACCATTCAGCATGCCAAGAGCAATTCGGTCCCTTCCACCTCAAAGGAAGTGCAGGCGGTTGATCCGTGGCAGAGTGGTCCTGATCCATGGAAGGGCTATACACCCACCGTTGCACCCGCGCCCTCCTCCGCGGGACGTAAAGCTTTGGATGATGTTGCCGACAAGCTTCGGGCTGACATCAAGGCCCAGGTCTCCAAGGAAGTTGCACAGCACGCTTCTACCTCATCCGCTACCAGTTCTGCCAACGATTTGCAAGACTGGAAGAGTCAGACTGATGCACGTTTCCAGAAGCTTGAATGTGGTCTGCAAGAACTTGGCCAACAGCAACAATCCATGAAGCAGTGGTGTCAAGATACTGCTCAAAAGCTTCAGGTTTCTGAGCAACAGCAACAGGTGCTCAACCAGAATATTCAGAAAGTTCAGTCGGAGGTACAGACGAACGCACAACAGCTCCATCAGCAAGTCCAGTCCTCCTTGCTGTCCTTGCGGTCGGACTTTGCCGCTGATGTTGAGTCCAAAATCACCACACAGTTTGAACGCTTCGAAGCCTTGCTTGTCAAGAAGCATCGCACCGAGTGACTAGGGCACCGGGGCTTCGGCATGTGGTCTTGCCGAAGGCCTCGTAGTTCACTATTTGGATGGTTTTGGTGGATTCTCGTTCTGGGTGGCTTCACTGCTACCCTTGGCAGCTCAGAGCAATCCTTTGCCCGGTTCTACCAGCTCAGCGCAGCATCCTTGGATGCCTGCGATCTTGGGTCGGGGACTACTCTGGGTTTTGCCAATTGGATGGTTCCGTCTTCAGCAGGACAGTGGGCTGGAGCTACTTGGGAGCCAGAGTTTGCATCTTCTTGCTTCTCTGACTTTGAATCTTTCAACTCGCACTGGCATCGAGATGTTGATGCCGCTGTCAGTGCTCTTGTTCGGCCTTTGGACAGTGGCTGGACCAATACCTGGTTCCGTGCTTTCTCTCGTCTTGGTGAAGCACAAAATCCTGGGCCTCACACCTCATTCTGTGTTGGGGTCACCAATCCTTCGGGCTTACGCACTAAGGAGGAGATCATCCTGGAGCATCCTGTGGGGATCTTGAATGTATGTGAAACGCAGTTGTCCCATGTGACTCAAGCCTCATGCCGAAGGCGTTTGACTTCCTTGGCCTCAGAGGTGGGACGTTTCCTTCGCCCCCGTTTCGGAGCCCCTGTTGTCACTCGAGCCAATAGTTCTTGGGCAGGGTCCTGGTCCGGAGTTGCGGTTCTTTCGGATTATCCTTGTCGGCCGGTGCAACTTGGTTGGCAGCATCATGAATGGGCTTCTGGAAGGGTGCTCGCTTCTCAGCACTTCGTTGGGCATCGCTCGCTTCTCAATGTAGCGGTGTATGGATACCCACAATCCCCTACGTGGCCGTTGGCCAAGCAAAAGACCGAAGCACTGCTGAAGGTGGTGACCAACGAAATCGTCATTGGGTCCTCGGGTCCTCGGGTCATCTGTGGTGACATGAATTCTTCCACGTCTTCTCTGGCCACTTTTGATGTCTGGCGCAGTTACGGCTGGCAAGAAGCACAAGAATGGGCTTTTCAGAAATGGGGCCAGGAAATTCAGATGACTTGCAAAGGACGTACTTGTGTTGATCACATTTGGCTCTCTCCAGAAGCTCTAGCTCTTTGCCAATCGGTTGAGGTGAGGGAAGTCTTTGCAGAACATGCATCGGTCCTGGCCTTCCTGGATGTTGACCTGGCTCCTGCCACTTTGCTACGTTGGCCTTGTCCTGCTGAGCTGCCTCTGGCTTCCGTTGCTACGACGTGGCCTACTGTTGATGTGACTCCGCTTCCAGCACAGTCCGCGGATGTTGATGCCCTCTTTCAGCAATGGGCCACTTCTTTTGAGGATAGCTTTGATGGCCATGTCTCCACACAGCCTGCGGGTAGGTTGGTACCTCAACAGAGGGGACGTTTTGGGGCTACTGCTCCTCGACTTCTTCCAACCACCTGTCATGTCCATCGTCCTAGTCGGCATGGGGAGGTCCAACTTCGGAATGATCGACTTGGCTCAGTCGTCTCTTTATGGTTCAAGCAACTACGGAGGTTGCAGAGTTACAAACAAGCGATTGAGGCAGGCAAACGCACTGTGGCGGCCATTACTTATCGGATTGAGTTGTGGTCCTCCATTTTGGCTGCCAAGGGATTTTCTGGCTCTTTTCGATGTTGGTGGAGAGAGTTTGGATGTCTTGGTGACCCGGAGGCTCCCGTTGCTCTACCTTCCTCGCCGCCTGGGGTTGATGAGGCTCTTCGTATCTTCTTGAGCTTCAAGTCCTGTTTTGAGGCTTGTGAGTCGTGGCATCTACACCAACGGCTGAAGCAGCTCAAGGCCAAGCATGACCGCACGTTGCACGCACTCTTCGTGGATTTGAAGCCACCTCGTAAAGCACAGCTGGATGTTCTTTGGCAGGAGCAGTTATATTCGGTCATTGGTGCTGACAGCACTACCGGACAGTTGCATCTTGATCGGCCGTTGGATCTTGGTGGGTCTTCTTCCTGGGCCATTGATGATGAGAATGTGTCGATCTTGTCCGATGGTACTGACATCTGCACGGTGGTTCCTTTTCCATCGGAACCTCTTAGCACGGTGCTGGTTCAGCATCAAACCTTCTCCCAGCTGCCTGACATCCACAGTGAACTTCGGGACTTTTGGCTTCCCAGATGGCAAAATTTTGAGGCCCTTTCCTCCGACCGTTGGTCCCGAGTTGTGAACTTCTTCCAGGCCTACATTCCGAAGATCCATTTTCAGGTACCGGAGTTGACCATCCCTGTCTGGCGTAGTGCTTTACGAAGATTTGGCAAACGCAGTGCCCGTGGAGTGGATGGATTCTCGCCGGCCGAGCTGCTCAAAATGCCAGACGGATGGACCCAACAGCTTTTGGATTTGCTTTCTCGCATTGAGCTAGGCGATCTTGCCTGGCCCGCTGCTGTTAGATTTGGCACCGTCTTCAGCCTTGCCAAGCGGGCCTCAGCTCACCTTGCGGGAGACTTTCGCCCGGTTGTGGTCTTCAGTGTCATTTATAGATGCTGGTCTGGCATTCATGCCCGTGCTCTCCTTCATCAGTTGGAACCGTATGTGAACACCGAGTCCTATGGCTTCCTCCCCTCTAGAGAGGCTGCGCAACATTGGATGGCATTGCAGGGCCAAGTAGAAGTAGCAGTGATGTTGTCCGAGGATCTGTGTGGCTTTTCCTCTGACCTTTCCAAGGCCTTTGAACATATCCCTCGACCACAAACTATGGCTTTGTCAAGACATTTGCAGGTCCCGGAACGGGTTCTTCTCCCTTGGAGCAGTTTTTTGGATACGTGTGAGAGATCCTTCGATGTACGTGGGGGGCTTAGCCCACCGCTCACCTCCAAGGTGGGGATGCCAGAAGGGGACGCCTTGAGTGTCTTCGCCATGGTCCAGCTCGACTTCAGCTGGCATCTGTACATGCGGGCCTTTTGTCCTTCGGTACGCAGCAGCTCCTATGTGGACAATCTGGGCGTACGCGGTGCCTCACCGTTTGACTTGGTTCAGGCCTTGTTTACCACAAAAAACTACTTTGAGCTCTGGAATCTTTCACTGGATGACTCCAAGACTTATTGCTGGGGGACCACCAAGCAAGTCCGTGCAGGCCTTCAAATCTTCCCGTTTGGTTGCAAGGATACTGCGGCAGAATTGGGAGGCTCCTTGTCATATACTGCTAGACATCGTGTTTGTCATCAGCGGGATCGGGTGCAATCATTGGACGAGAAATGGACTCGACTTCGATTTTCTCATGCTACTCTGCTGCAGAAATTCCGTGCTCTCCCAGTTTGTTTCTGGTCGCAAGCTCTTCATGGCTCGGCGTCCTGTCGGATGTCGGTCAAGCTGATCCAGGATCTGCGAACTTCGGCTCTTCGTGCCCTCCGGCTCTTGCGAGCCGGTAGCAACTCGATGCTGCAGTTGACTCTGTGCGGGGTGATTGCTGCGGATCCGGGCTATTTTCAGCTTCAGTATACGGTCCATTGCTTTCGGAGGATCTGTACCAAAATGGCACAGTTTTTCCATGATTGGTCGGTCTTCATGCAGCTGTTTTCTGGGGTTCTTCACCAAGGACCTTTCTCTAAACTGCTGGAGGAACTGAACAATGTTGGTTGGTCTTTGGATCTGCCTTGGTTATGGACGCATGACAACTTGTGTTTTGACTTCCTTCGCATGGATGCAGACACATTGAATGAGTTGTTAGAAGAAGCTTGGCTTATGCATGCTGCCCGACATGTTCAGGGTCGGAAGACGATGAGGGATCTTCAGGGCTTGGATCGACACTTGTTGCATCTTCACCGACGGCCTCTGAATGCGCTACAGCTTTCTCGACTTGGGGCTCTTCAGTCAGGTGCTTTCATGGATCGGGCTCGGCAATCCAGATTTGACCTTACTAAGGATGGCCTATGCTCCACTTGTTCTTGCCCGGATACCCAGGAACACTGGCTTGTTTGTCCTCGACATCATGAAGCCAGGACTCAAGCGCAATTGACAGAGCATACAGTTGACACATCCCCTCTTTCTTTAAAGCTGCACATTCTGCCTTCTCGCAACCCTCATCTTTGTTGGTTGCGAAACTACTTTCAGCATCGGCCAGCAGACTATGACTTGCTTGCTGGCCCAGGTGGAGACGCGGAGCACATTTTTACAGATGGCTCGTGTTTTCAGCATGCTTTTGGAGGGGCTCAGGCGGCTTGGGCTGTGCTCTCAGCCACTACTGGGGCTCCTATCGCAACAGGTCACTTGCAGGGAGTTTGCCAATCCGTGATGAGGGCGGAAATTACAGCTGCTCACTGTGCCTTGGTTTGGAGTGCAATTCACCAGGTCTTCATCCATCTCTGGATTGATAATCAGACGGTGGCCAATAACATTCTCTTGTTGTCCAGAATTCACAGGGTGCCTTCTCACTGGTCTCACCAGGACTTGTGGCAGAAGGTTCTGGACACATTGGATGGGCAGCGCCAGCCGCCGAAAGTTTCCTGGATTCCTTCACACCTTGAAGAGGAGTTGTGCAGCTGTCCTTATGAGTCTTGGTTTTGTCATTGGAACAACAAGGTTGATCGCTTAGCAGTATCTTGCAATGAACAGCGCTCCGAGCTCTTCTATCAGATGGTCAATGCTGCCAATGAGTATACCAATTCCACTGCATGTCGCATGAGTCAGCTTTTCTCCTTCTACATGCACGTTGCGGAGGAGACCTCTAGCAGTGCGAGTACTGAGGTGGTTGGTAATTCTGAGGCAGCTTCAGAAGTGCATTTTTGTTCTACTGAGTGCATGGCCATGTCTAGTTTGCTGCCTTGTCAGTTTTCTGAACGGTTGACTGCAGCTAGCCTTGCCGCGGTTCCCAATTCGTTTGTTTTGAGTTTATTTCAGTGGTTCCTTGCACAGGAGGAGACTGCTGAAGGATCATATGCTTGCAGCTTTTTGGAACTTGTTTTTATGCTCGTCCACGACGGGGCCGATTTTCCCCTTCGGAACCCCAGTACAGGTTGTTGGGAGCAGATGGCTTACACTTTGATGCCTGTACGGCCTACTGTGGCCACCTTGCTCAGATATGTCAGGTCTTCGGTCAAGGCTGGTGGTGAGTTGTTTGATGTTGGTTTGATCAGTTTCAGTCATGAGAACAAGGTGGATCTGGGAATACACTTCCCTTGCAGTGGGCTGTTCTTGCGGCTTTGCCGCTCAAAGGTGAGGGCGGCTCGTCGTTCTGTCCATGCCTGGACTTCGACCTGGCCCGTCCGCAAGGCGGCCGATTTGGCTCGCCCTTTTCCGGTGACCGTTCACACCGATTAGCTCGCTGCTGACCTGGACCTGGCCGCCGCTCTGCTTGCGCCGAGCGCGTGCCATCAGACGTCCGAGATATTTGTGAAAGGTGTGGCCACACTTAGTGAATCATGAGAAGGTCGATGACCTCCAAAAACTACCTGTTTGCATTCCCTGGTGCTTGGGAATTGCCCTTGTTTCCAGGGAGCGGGAGTGCACCGAAGACACTCAACTGCACATGTGAAAAAGCCTATTGGATCACACGCTGTGGCTCTGATTGGGGCCAAAACAAATGTATACAGCTCCAGTAGGGCTTCTATGTATAGCTTCAGTACGCTTCCAGCATAGTGATTGAATGGCCTTCACCCCCGCCCCGCACCAGGAACTGCAAGCCACAGGCTTGAGAAGGCCTTGACGGGCTTCATGAAAGCGCTGACCAGTGTTGGCCACGAGGTGATTTGGTGGTTATTGAATGATTTTGGACATTTTGTGTAGGTAAGGCAGGTAAGGCTCTTCCTTTTCATGGTGATTTGGAGCTTGATGGAAAATGCATGAACATGCATGAAAATGCTGTTCTCATCCTCAAATCGAAAGCCCGTGGCCGCTAAACCGTTCCGAGGAATTGAGTCCAAGCGGCTCTTGTAGAGATTGATGATCAGCACCTCATCTTCCACCACCCACCTGAGCTCAAATCGAAGGCTGAGCCCCTCAGCTTCCCCGAGTGGCCTGACTTCGGGAATGAAAGAAATGCTGAGGTCCCCCTGGGTGTCCCAAGAAAGTAAAGGTTAACAGTTCCACCTATTCATCTTAAGTTGGGAAACCAATCTCCAAAAATATTTAGGCCGGGTCATGATCTTTATGATGGGGTAGGAATGGGATTCTCCGATCGGCTTGAGGCTCTTCTCCGTTTGGAGTTTGGACACCAAGCTTACTCCCTACTTACGGGCATTGTGCATGGACAAACACCTTATGGGTGGGTGGATTTCGCCGGATCAACATCCAACTGACTTGGCGATTGCCCTCTGCGGAGGAACGTGGGCGGAGTGGATCACCGATTCACCACGGCACGAAGCGATGCGGCGATCGATGCGACAATCGACGGAAGTGGGTTGAGCCAGGAAGATGACTTTCCTTTAGAAACAGGGGGTGAACTCATGTGAACTCCACTTCGATGTGGATCCTTGGAGTGTCGCAGAAAGAAGAAAACACGAAAAGGGAGTGGATGTTTCACCAGCGGCTGGCTGGTGAGCCCCTTCTTCATCAGATCTGAAAAAATGCAGGTAATTCCACAGGGAGTCGGTGGTGTCCTGTCTCCCTCTACCTCTCCGCGTGTTTGGTCTTTTTGACCCATGAACAGCAGCCTGTGCGTTCGCGAGGCCGGCTCAGCGGACCCGAGGTCCAAACTCTTGTGCAGGAGAAAGGAGGACCAAGTCTTATCTTAAAGGATGTTAGGTTTCAGTATTCATGATGCATGCTTGTATTTGAGGATTGGGGGGTTGTCCTGGATAACATTCTTTGAATGTTTGAAACCTCCCTGTGATTTTTTCTAGAATGAAGATCCTAGTCATTGGGTTTGGAAACACCAAAAGTTGGCATAAACTGAAGGCATCCTTACCAAGATTATCCAATGGGTGTCCAATGGAGGTCCAGAAGCAGTGTAGGGTAGTCTATTGGACACCCATCGAATGACCCAGGTATCTTTCTTGCTTCCCAAAACATTTGGGCCCTTCTCACGAATGAATTCACCCATGCCTTCCCGGCAGAACGCGTTCTTCATGTTCTTCCAGGAATTCCTCCCGTTCTTCAAAGGCTCCAGGACTTGAAGCGAAAGATCTCGCCCGCGAAATCTCCCGTCAACTGCTTGTAGACAGTGCCGTTCAAGGTCACCTGCGACCGAAAACGTCATACTGTACTAGCTAATTATACTATGTATATATATACATATATATATATAGATTTAAAATATTTATACTGTACATGTATTAATTACAATTTTCAACCACCTGTACACACTATAGGGTTTCCTGAACAAATAATGTGTCTGTATAAATATATAACGTGTATGTAAATATCATTGATTTGCTCACCTACCTCCCTCTGCAGTCTCCGCCAACATACTGCCACAGTGACTCCACCAGGTCAGAAAGAAAGAATCGCACGTGTCGATGTGGTGTTTTATAAATTTTCGAACCAGACGCTCCGATCTCTTCCTCCCTGTTTGGGATGGTTCAACTAGCCCTGGGATCTCTTTTCAGGGCTAGTCATAAACTATATCGGGGGGGCTCTGGTTCAGAACATCTTCTGAATGACCAAATCAGTGATTTCCCGGAATCCGAATACTTTTTTACAAGAAGGTGTTCTCCGAACGTTCCACCTGGTCCTTTTTGAGTGTGCAGTGCGCCTCCAAAATAACAACACACACAAATAGGATCAAATAGGGTGATAGCAGGTTACACCACGTTTCTTCTGTAGATACCTGCCCTCCTTTCATCCCTCTCCTCCCATTTGAGCACCTGGAGACTCTTGGAGGAGAGCTGCACCTTGACCTCGTCGGAGGTCCACTCCTTCCTGCCGAAATCATGACCACGTTTTTCATGGATGATCCGTCGGAATCCGTCGCATCAGATTCGAGCCACCATGAAGAAACAATAGCTCGCTAAAATCGCCTTCGACCTGACCGGTCCCTCAAAACCGGATTGGTTCGACCCCAAACCCCTATGCCCTATGTTATATATGCCTGCAGTATGAGATTCAGATCCCGATCCCTCGAAAGTGAAGATCGGCGCTGTGGCACCGCTGGAGGCTGAAGATCGGCGCAGTCAGCTGAAGAACCGCTGGTCGGAGTGGTCTCCATGGATCAAAAACCGGGTTCTCAGTGATTTCCCGTGACTGGGATGGCTTGTGACTGGAGAATATCAAGAATTTGAAATTGTAAAGATGGGCAGCAGCTTTTGGAAGAAAAACGGCATCCAAATGGTTTGAACGAACACATGGGCCATACTGGTTGGACAATCAATCCAGGCTGGAAGAGTTGCAAGTTTGAGAATAGCACAGCAGGACTTGTTCGTGGGCAGTTCGAACCGTCAGTGGGTTTTTCTCACACAGTGTGGGCTCCAACTACCCTCACTGCAGCAACCCAAGGGAATTCATCGCAATTCAAGGAACTTCTCACATCATCCAGGCAAGTGCATGACCTCAGTTCAACGCCTGTGCAAAAGAGACTTCGCACCATGGATCTTTGAAATGTCCCATCTAACTGCAGCTCCCAGCCCTTGGAGATCCTTCTGTCCCAAGCGTTTCTTGCATTTGCTGTCCAGTTACAAAAGCAAATCCCATGCCAGGGGATTCACCCACAGATAGAACGAACATCACCTTAAAACAAAACCCGGGTTTCAAGGTGTATGGACCGGGCATTGAACCCCACTCCAAACCCGGTTGGGTCCTGTCAGGCAGCGCGCCCTGCAGCGAGAATCATCGCGAAGAGGTTTTGGCTTGGCCCAGAAGCACTTCACCGAACCCTAGCTGTCCCACGAAGTTTTGCCTATTTCTTGAAATGATCTTATGCTCAAGCCTGGTTCATGAGGCCTTTGCCTGACCTGCTTTCTGCAATTACCAGGACCTTCCAACAGGTGGTTTTCGAACAGCACCGAGATCTCCAGCCAGCATCTTCTTCGGCGAGGGAGGCTAAAGCTCCAAACATCGGTGTCTTTTTTTTCCTTGTTTTTTCCCAAACAACGTCCTTCGAGCATCTTCGAGTTCCTGGGATTTCTCCATGTCCTTCGAAATCTTCGAACTCGCTCCGTGGAGTTCAAACGGACCCAGGTTTCGACTGGGCGTCCACGGCTTCGACGACCCGGTGACCGTTTACCATCCGGACGGTCCAAACGGCAGGCGAACAAAGCTCAAGCAACGTGCGACCAACCTCTCAAGCAACAGGGACAGATGCACCCCTGGGGTGGTTATCCCTGACCAGCTTGCAAGTCTTGCGGCATATCGTGCACGGCGTGAGCAGTGCAGCGCATGCGCCAAGACCGCTGGGGTGGTTAAAAGAGGTTAAAAGGCCGCCCTTCACCTCTTTTCGGGCCTCGTCATAGACACCCCATGACATGCCAAACGGGATGTAAGAAAATAAACAGCAGCACATGCATTCTTTCGAATCCCAAATCAAACGCGTAGTACTTAAAATGCGTTTGTGTTTCTTTCCTCACCTGCGAGCGACCACGAACTCGCGCGAGGTCCCGAACAGAACGCGTGCCGCGTGCCTCCAGGCGGTGGGTGAAGGTGAATTGCCCCATGCTCTGAGACCACTCTACCTGGATCGGTCCAAAGCCACGTACCCGCCGCTCACAGCGGAGCCGGAGCTCGCGGCGGACGTGCGCGGAGTGCACCGGAGCGGATCCGTGCGACTTCTTTTCGATGCCCAGGTGCCATAATCGGTTGTACACTTTAGGGGTATTGCCTTTATTCATCGACATATTGTTTATACTATATTATTCTCATATAAGTCATATACTATATACATTCTATACAGTTAGAAGAGTTATATACGATATATACGTCGCTATTGCAGCGAAGCGACACAGGGTGAACACTTTCAACAACTCCAACAGCTCCAAGGGAATGAATCGTTTAAAAAGTAACTGAACTCATGACAATCTTCGTTTGCGAAGGACTTCGCATTCCAGACTCAGTTGCACCACTCCACCGGCCAAACTAGTCCGCCCAAAAGACTTCCAGGTCTCCCGGGCGTTCCCTTCTCCATTGACACCACCCGAGCCATGGCTATTGAACCTGAGCATCGCTGGTGAAAAAGAGACGCCCATTGTTCAACGCCTGGTGAAAAAATAAGGGTGGGAGCCCAGAAAAAGGAAACGGAAGAAATGTGACAAACACCAACACATACGCAGGGCGTCCCAGAGGATTTTAGGGAGCAAAGTGCCTTCAAACTTCCTAGGGCATACAACTTCCACAAGTTATTTGGTTTGGAGAGGCACGAACTCTGACGATGTTGCTGTTCTTGGACATGTTGGGGAAGAAGTTTGAAGAAAGAACTAATTAATCACGTTAGGAGGATGGAACCATTCACAATAGCCATCGGTGGGTGAGTATGCCGTATATTAATCAATCGATAACATATATAAATTCACAAGCTCGTTGTTGATCTTTCTTGTGGTCAAACCCATGCATCCAAACATTCGAGACAAATGCATTTGAATACATAGGATCAGTCATTCTTGTCCAGCATCTTGAAGTATTGATCGAATTCTTCCCAAAACCTCTGTAGAAAACAATGAAAAGCACTGTAATAGTGACCTCCAAATAGATAGAATAAATCCATACAAAAACCGTAAAACAACTATTGGACACCATACAAATTCAACTATTTGGGGACCCATTATATAAGTATACAAATTCTTCCCACCACCTCCTGCGATCCCATTTCGACGGGCGGATGCCATCGCATCGAAGGGACGGCACAGGGAAGCTTCTGAGTCGCTTGGGCGCGACGGACAGGGGTACGGCCTGGCGCAGTCGGTGCCGCGGCAGTCGTGGCAGCAGGAGACTGAACGGTTGATCTGCCCGATTTCCGGTCGTGCGCTGTGTGGGAAACGACCAGCGTTCCAGGTGTTGACCCGTTCCAGGTGCCTGAAAAACCGAGCGGTCCGAGTGGTGGATCGTACCCCTTTGTAGAAGGGGTTGGCATGGCCAATTTTTCCTGGAAAGTAGGTGAAAGCAGGTGATCACGTACTTCCTGGGACCGGGGCCTTCCCAGGCTTCTCTTGACCACACCCCACGGCCGCGCACGTCTCGCCTCCACGGCCTCTTCCATGGCACGTCCGCGCAGCCCCCAGAAGCTTGGGACAGGCAGCTGCGTGACCGATGGAACTGATGCCAAGAAAAGGGCGCCCAAGGGTCCGGGACAAATCGGTCCGGGAGGTAGGAACTGGAATACCGCCATGGCGATGAGCAAACTTTCAGCAACATCAACCACCTTCTTAGCATGGAAGGAATTCCATGGAATGTCCCATCCAAAATGCCCGGCATGTCGGTCACTCTTCACTCGTTGGAGTCCCACTTGTCACTCCGACCCAACGAGTCGAACCCGCCCAAAACACGGGGGCCAAACCGAGTCCAGCAGGGTCGCTCGCTCGACTCGGCTCTCCGTCGAGGGTCGGTCGTAGCCAAACCAGACGGCTCTCCGAAGATCGGGAAGATTTGGAGTGAAGACGGGTGATTTGACAGAAGCAAAACACTCCCAACAGCAATACAGGTACCAGCGAAAATGTGGTCATGTTGATTGATTGTCAAAAGAAAAGACACGTCTCCGCCCGGAGTAGTTGTACATCTTCTGGTATGGGGGGCATTATTCACCGACAAATATCAACAGTCTACATTGAATCAACAGTTTTGTCAGGACCCTTTACCTAAAAAGACATCTTGAAATCTTGAAAACCTATCCCAATAACTTCTTGGATCTCTACATGTGCTACTAGTGCCATCTGAAAGCACGTCATATCTGGACATATTACAGGACATATCTGGACATGATCTTTTTCATCGAACAAAAACGGTACCCGACCCACGGCCAAACGACCTCTTCACCCGTTCACCCGACCGCCACCGACGGAGCACGACCGACCGCCTCGAGGCCATCCTGGGCGCGTGGGCGAACGGGCGGGCGGCGGTGCGGCATCCCAGTTCCCAGTTCGTCCCAAAGGAAAAACAAGCTGTTCAGATGCGTTTTGTGTTTCTCAAAATAGGTCCTCGAGGAGTCCAACATATAATCCTTTGTTTCTTTTTTTTTGGGGGGGGGGGGCGGTTCTATTTGAGATCTATTTGGGTCTTAAGTCTTTGAGTCAAAACCATCCTTTTTCCACCTGTTATCACCTGTTGGATTTGCGTGGGGCGTCCCCAATCCCCGAAAGAAGAAAACGGTGACCTGCAGGTGAGAAAAGGGCCACGTTTACTTCCGTAGGAATGAATCAATGAAGGGCCACTGACTGGTGGTTCATCTTTTTCCCGGCGTGGACGTCCGGTTTCTGTAGCTTGGAGAACTCGGAGGTTGACGAGTAAGCGCCAAAGACAGACTGACGAAAGACCCTTGTTGGGGTCAGAGAGTCAGAGAGTAATATAGAATTATAAGTCTATAACCATGTCTAACCAGTCTAACCACTGTACTGAATACCATTCGTGTAACGACTAATCATCAGAGATTTTGGAGAAACCCCTCTTGTGGGTTGTGGAGTTGTTCCCCAAAAAGAGAAATGCCCAGAACTTCACGAACGCTGTGCGAGCCCAAAAATGAGAAACATATATAATCAGTCTGCTCTGTGCAGTACGGTTAGTGGATCTTGCCGCAAGTAGTGAGGGAAACGATCAGCAACAAAACGAGTCATGGAAGGTTCTGATGCAACTGACAGGACTGGAAAGACGCACACTTATGCTGCTTCAAGATGCTTTACTGATCATGGCCTCTCGTAGATGACTACTGACATACACAGACATCCTCGGTGCCCAGGCCATGCGTTCTCCAATGTAACACTCCGCCATCTCCCCATTCGACGGCTGGGTTTCCGGAGCCGTCGTGGTGGTGGTGGTGTAGCTGTGCATCGCATCTTCGTCGTCGTCAAATTGCAGCTTGCTGAGGATGGTGCCTGGCAATTGCAAGTCGGCTGTAGCTGCCAGGTGGAGCTGGGAGGTCACTATCTTCTTTACTCCCCTGCAGAGGACCACTCTGTTGCTTCCCCAAAACCACTCGGTTGCAAAGGAACATGATTTTCTACGGATCAATTCTCAGGTTCCATGTTAGATTGTGAGGGGATATATGTTGCCTTTTTTTAGTGTGTACTGAAATCGGGAGACTTCCCACGGCCCCCCAGCAAGAAGGGAAATAGACAAAAACCATACAAAAGACCATTGGTGAGGAATCTTTCTGTTAAAAACGCACACACCTTATGCTTGCCCGGGTTATATTTTTGGGGCCAACCTCAATCGGAGGTGTGGTCAAAAATGTGTGCAACAACCGCAAGAGTTGGACAAAAAGCATCAAAAAGCACAGGCAAAGCGTGAACAGCACGGGGATTCTGCGGAAAACATGGTCTGCCGATGTCGGCGTCGGCATCTGTTTGGGCAGCCCGTGCCGTAGTTCTGGCAGCGTGCGATGTAGTTCTCCTGTGGCGCTGCCAGTGCATCTCCAGAGATTGAAGAACCCTATGGACTATCTGGGTCCCATTCCCGGTCCTATAGGTGCCCCTGTCGTGTCCTAGAAGGTCGCTTGACCTCTGTTGGCTTGGGGATACCGCCACACTCAGATCATAGCAGCTTGAGGTATTTCTCTGCAGGTATTCTTGGCAGATCCCAAGGTTCGTCAATTCCAGCTATCGGTTTGTGACGAATATTTGAAGGCTGTGGGGGAAGAGGTATCGATTGCTTCTTACTTTGAAGTCCAACTATAGTCTGCATGTTGATGCAGGGATCCTCTGAAAGGTATCACTGATCCAGAAAGATACAGCAGTTAAATATACACCCCTAAGATCCCCTAAGATTCCTTGGGCTACAGAAGGCCCGTCCAAGAAAGTCAACGTTCCCCTGGGAAGTCAAAGACCTTTCTCAGTAGAATGCTCGGTACACTACTTCAGGTAGTTGACCCAGTGAAGACCATGGAAGACCTTTCAGTAGTGTACTGCCCAGTGACTTGAAAGGTCTTCAGGTGCAACTTCCAACCAGGAGTTTGGGTTCATGAACAACGACGAAAACATGCTCCTGCCCGGCGGCCAAATGCACATTGACGAAGCAAAAGGAGGAGCGGCCTCAGCACCATTTGGCTGACCTGATCTATAGATGATCTATGCAGTCACCTTGTTGCGCCTCAACCTCCTTCCGGTCGCGATGTACTAAATTTGCTTGAACAACATTCAATAATATCAAATTCATGTTCAAAAGAGCAATGATGTTATGCCAAAGAGCAAGTATACCATTGGCATCCAGCAATAGATTTATATCTATAGACTGCACACTCGCATAGATCGAACCCACCCCCCCTCCTTTCAATCGAAGCGCCTCAGCTTTCCACGCCCGATCCAGAACACTCGTGGTAAAGGACATGGCCAGATTCTTTGCTTTACCATGATCTACCCTACCCCAGACACGACTCATGGGACTGCCATAGGACTGCCGGCCCCACTGACCGGCACCACCCCAATGGATAGGCAGTCCTATGGCAGTCCCACGGAGTGTCTATAGGTACCATGATCTACCCAAATTCCATCCGCCAAGCGTTTTTGCATTTGCGTTGGCGTTGCTCCCTGATCCCACAGGCGAGCAGAAATTCACAGAGCTCCCGGCCCAGCTCGAATCGCACTGCCACTGCGCCTTTGTTACCACCGTAGCCTGACGGGCACCATTGGGCACCCGGAACGTCGGGATCACGTCCGAAATCCCTGAGTTAATGAACATGTCACACACCTGCTCTTGGAAAGAATGCTTGGAAGAAGCTTCACCCCGTTAGCAGCGACCATGGCGACCATCAGCCAGCATACTTCTGGAATCTTCTGGATAACCATGGAGCCACCCGTTTCATCCTGTGTTCCTTCGACCTCCCAGTAGAATCGGCCACGGCAGCACCCAGCACCCAAGCTACACCATCCATTCCGCCCACACCGACCATGCACCCCGACTCCCGACCTTGTGCTTCGCCCCTGTCCGCGGTTCCCGGCGAAGCCCGCGGCGGCGAACTGTCGCGAAGCGCGGTGACCTCCGCGACACCCGTCCGCGACCCCCGACGCCTCCGACGCCGATGCCCAGAGAGGTGGCGCGACAGTTCTCCACCAGCTGGGCGATGCTGCGACGCACGAAGACTAAGATGAGCCTTTGGCGTTGGTCGGTGAGTCGGTGGAGGCAGAAAATAAGGGTGACCTGGGAAGAAAGAGCGCAGGGTCCAGCTATATGGAGAGAAGGAAGGTGGAAGGGTCCGCAAGAATCTGGGTTGTGACCAGGAAGTTTCAAGAAGTTGGGATCATGATGTCAAATTCTCCGGCGACCTGATCTGCAGACTTCAATTAGACGACCAGACTGTTCATTCAACAACTTCAAATATGTACCATGGATCTTCCAACCAAATTTCTGCCTTTGGGCTGCTTTTTGTTTGTGGATTAAAAGGCATAAATTTGTCACAATTGGAAGATCCAGGTAAGGATCATCTCAAGTTCTGGCTATCCGAGCGGAAGCCAGTTGTGTGTGTGTGAAATCTGTGAGCCAATTGATGGCGCACCGCTCTGCGAGGGTACCAAACGCCCCATCAACAAGCCGGAACTGGTCCCTCAAGACTCAAAACCGGGATATGGTGAAAATCGCCAGGCTTTATTGGATGGAACGTTCTCCACAGACCTCCACAGCTGGAAGAACCTTCACCGGTCTCCCCGTCCCCGACGTCCCGTCGTCCGGAGAGCCCGGCAGTCCCACGAGGCGTGCGGATTCCAGGAGTTGCAGCTCGCCCTCATAGGCCTCGGCGTGGACGTCTGAAGACGGCCCCAGTCGTTGGGGTTGAGTGTGGTTGAGTAATGACAATTTGGTCTCACGTGAGAAACAATTCGTTACTCAATCCAGATTAAAAACAAAACACACAGAAGGCGCTATAGAGCTAACTCTTGTACCTGGACCATCCAGTCGTGGTCTCCAATGGACTGCCCAGTGTCCAATAATACTTGTGGGCGAAAACCAGACTGGACACCCCGACAGGACCTGGAACATGAAAGGTGAAGCGAACTGAAGGCACCTGTTGGATTTGAGTGGAGTGGAAAACCTATCTCCCATAATGCCCCCAAAAGGTTAAAGGTTGGCCACTGATTGAGTAGGATAAGCATGTTGGCCCTGCAGCGCCCCCAAGTGTCGAGTCGTGGGAGTCATCCCCTTGGAGAAGCAGCCGAAACTGCAAGGTAAAATCATCCAAAAGCGCCAAGACCACCCAGGGTGATTGAGCTTGTTTTGCCCACAGAGTTCATCGTGAAGGTTTTCTCGGTGTCTTGCAGCAAGTGGTCTATGACATAGATACCAATGGAACCCGGAGAAACGGCCAAGAGTTGACCTACCAGCATTCACCAAGCAGCTTTGGTTTGTTGAATGGTGGACACTCTTGGGAAGACCCAGTTCCAAGCTGCACCCACTACCCTTCTCACCACATAAAGGAAAGCAAGGTGCCAAGTCCCTGAAGCTTGCCCCTTGTCAATGCAAAGGGGAAGACCACTGAAGGACATGAATGAATGGACACATCTAGAGCACAGTAACATGGCATCGCTACGAACGGAGCAAGGACGCTACGAACCGGGCTCCTGGCAGTACTACTAGGAGCAGTCTTGCTAGTAACAAGAAGCACGGGCCAGGCCTTTTTTTGGCGGCTTTGAGGGCAAAGATCCGCCGGAGATCCGCTGTTGGGGAAGCGGCGGTCTGGTCTTTCGCAAATCCAGTATTCTGCGTGGACGTTCCATCTGATAGGCTTCACTTCACGGATTGGAACAGCACATCCGGGTGTCACCTTAGAAAAAACATGTTCTGAATGGATTGAATCTTCATGACCTCACACTAAACAAGGGGAGGGCCTCAAGTCCATGGATTTTCTTGAGTTTCTCACTTGGCTGTGGGTTCTTCATCCCGGAGCCTGGAACTCCGCCTGGTAGGTTGACCATGGACATGGTATGACATGGTAGCCCTATTCTGTTCTAGCTCACAAACATGACGAATCCCAGTGAGACAGAAGAATGTCGCACACAGCAGAATGTCTGATCAAAAGTAACTAGTCTATTCTGATTCATGTTCGGAATATCCCGGGAAGAAATCAGAATAGAATCAGACAGGATGTTCAAAAGTAATTAACATATTCTATCGGGAAGAAACTGGATATCCGGTCTTGACCCACAACCACTTCTCAGAGTCCCCGCTCCTTGGGACGCGTCAACCGCACCGGACAGAGTTCACCCGAACGAATGACCGCATGCGTTGAACACCGTGGCTGACCCCGATTGAGAAGTTGTGAAGTGCCGATTCCATCAGATCAGGACTGTCTTCTTCTTCTTCTTCAAAAGTAATCATCAAAAGTCTTCATGTCATTTCTGGATTCGTTGAAAGTCGCAAGAAAAATCTGAAGAATGATTTCCTTCGCGCTTTGGAATGCGCGACGGTGCTGAGCGACTGACGATTTGCTGAGCGCGGGTCCTTGACCCTGTGTGACTACAAAGAGTCTGTGTGTGCAAGTGCATCGTCCAAAAAAAAATTACGTAGGTTAATGATTCCCCACCCCATGCCTAGGATGATGGATAACCCCCCTAACACTCCAAACATAAGATTTGCATAGGATTAGTGTTGGTTGAAAGAGCCAAAAAACCGTCAAAGTCCCATAGCCTAGAATCCTGGACATGCTGCACCAGCAGACTACTGAAAGAAATTGGACAACTGGTGGCAAATGTTTCACTGTAAGTCCGGGGATCAACACATTTTGCCGATCATGTCCGAGATTGGTCTTGGGCATGTTTTGGCCAACACCAGAGCTCGTCATGTTCCATGTGGCTGAACAACATCTCCAACACCAATCAAGTCCAGACACGCTAGGCCCGTTTCAGTCGCTCAGTGACTTTGTACAGTTGCCTTCCACTCTCGGAAAAAATCAGGCACGAAGACGGCTTCCATCGGCTTCCAGTCACAGCGCCTACATCGTTGGACAAGTGGGTCAATACGTAAGACACTCCAAATGTGTCTGACCTTTTTGAGGATTGGGAAGTGTCCAAGTACTCTGTACATTCGCTTGTTTTAGGTCATGAATCCATTGGGTCCTTGAGAATCCAGGTGCGGCTTGTATCAAAGGAAGTCTTGCTCGCTGTCTTGAGCGAAGCGCACGTGGTTGGCCCACCGATCAAACATTGAGTCAAAGGAATGCCTGAAGTGCTTTCCTATCAAGGTAGCATCACTTGCATCTTATCAAAGCCAAGTTTTGTTGTTGATTCCTCCTCGTGCTCTGCCCACCTGGAGCTGTTTTCGTTCGTGCATTCGAGCTGTTGAGCATTTTCCACCTGCTTCGGCTGCTTCGCGTTTTGCAACGTTTTGTAAGTGTCCCTCATTCGACGATGGCTCACCCGCCCGTGCCGTTCGAGGCGTCAGGCCTTACAGGCGGCCTCCGCTGTCCGCTCGCGCTAGCGCGGCTCTTCTGCTTGGGCGTATGCGGCCTTGACCTGATGGGCTGGCGGGTGGGTGCCGAGTGCTTTGGATGAGCACGCTGAGGTGAGGTGACAGTCTAGGTGATTCTCAGTGGAAATAAAAAGAGTGAGTGCACCACTTGGAAGACCTAAGAGCATTTTCCTGAAGATAAATCACCAACAGTTCGCCAAACTGTAACTGGCAACACCATCAGCAGCCAGGTACAGGCTGTTTACAGGAACATCCCCAAACTTGTTGGACTGCCTGGAGCGTCTACCTCAAAAAATGAAAAGCCTATTAAGCTGAGGAAAAGAAGCACGTCCTCCTCTCAATATCCCACTCCAACTTCCACTTCTAACGTTCCCTCCCAGCCGAAACCGCCGCTCCGTGCGCCGACACCGCAATCCCACCACCCCACCTCCGAGGCGATCTTCCGCTCGCGCTTGGAGGCCACGCGCCGCGGCGCCGCCAGGCCCGGCGTGCGCTGGGCGAAGAGGGCGCCGAAGGGATCGCCGGCGGCCTCCTCGCGGGTTGGGGCGAACCGAGGAACGGTGTGGACGGGGGAGTGACTTCCGGGGTGTATGGATATAGCGAGGGATAGTGCGAAGGCGGCCGTGTTTTTTTTGGGGAGGGGAGGTATATGGTGCTGAAAAGCAGTGAAACATTCGGAAAAGAAGAAGCCTGAAGGGAGTTTGAGAAGCAGCTGGGACACAAGTTCACAGATATCACTTCACATTGTGTAAAAAGCCGTGAAGATCCCCTGAAGTGTCCCTGTTCAAAACTGCAGTAAGAAAAAGTAAGAAACTCCACAGATTCTCCACTGACACTTCTTTTTGGGATGAGTTGACAGATCCAAGGACCGACCGCCAGTCGCCCTCGTTTTGGGACGTTCTCTGAGCGGAGTGGCGACGGAACGACGAACGCTGCGCCTCCCGGGGCTTCAGGGTCTTGGAGAGCCTTAGCAGAAAGGCCCAAAGGCCTCGTTACTGGAACTTAGGCACCTGTGAGTGGAACTTGGTTGAGACCAGCAAAGGTTTAGTCTGTTTCCCAAACAGCCTCCTCAGGCGGGCAAAAGTTTAGGACGACCAACTGCAAGCTTGGTACTTCTCTGACAGGCATATCATCCTGTAGCTCGCCTACCTCTTCACTCAAGAGTCTTTGTCGAAATCTTGAAAACCCCACTCAATCCACCAGGAGTTTCTTCAGATCTTCAGATCCTTAACATACAGTAATGTCCATTCTCCACCATGTAGGCCAATTCCTCCTCATGAAGCTTTGTGACAGTGGCACTTGAGAGTGTTGTGATCTCCGTGCTGATGCCCCAGACTGCATTTGCTGTATAGAGGGAATAGTTCGAGCCAAAATGGTTCCTCTGCCAAGAAAAAAAAAGAACCAAAACATCAACATCTACAATCCCACTCTCTGTCTCCCAAGCAAAAGCCACCCTGGGCCACCACTGCCACTGCCCTGATTTCACGTTTCCATACCTCTTCAGATGATGTGTTTCACCCCAAAACCAATTGAGGCTTCAAGCATGGCCGCACATGTCGTGTCCAAAAGTCAAAGGAACACCACACCCTCCTGTCGCCCCTTGCAGGATTTGTGATTCAAAAAAGAAGAAAAACATTAAAGCATCAATAAAGCATCAGTAAGCCTAACGCACCAGAACACCTCTCCCACCACCTGTCTCACCAGCGTCTCCAAGCGGCAGCATCGCCAAGTTCCGCACGGCGCCCTCCGGGTGCGAGGCCGCCAAGCGCTCCGCCGCGGCGCGGCCGCCCAGCTTCACCTGGCATGCAATACGGCACGGCTGAACGAATTGAAACAAGAAAACACGGCCTGAACCTGGCAGAATGCATACATCCACACAAATATCGGACGTATCAATACGTAGGAAATTGAACTCCAAATAACTCCACCAAGTTGTTTAAAGGTGTTTATCGATGTAGCTTACTGTAAGTCATTTCGAACTGTTTCAAGCCCAAGCCGCATCATTCTTTCCTCTCCACCGCTTTCTTTTTCTCTCCTCCTCTATCTCTCTCTCTCTCTCTCGCTCCCCCTCCGCCCAAGTCACCACATGGCTCCGGATGGCGGCATCCACTGACATGTTGTGTAACAAGCCACAGGCGGCCATGGCCTCGGACGACACTGGCACGGCACGTGACACGTGTGAAACACAGCCCGGTATGGTGCTTTGAGCCGCCTAGTAAGAGCAACTCAAAGGATCTGGAAGGGAGCGAAGGGAGGAAAGCATGAGAAAGCTGCGTTGAATCTGGATGTAGATCTTTTAGATCCGGGTTTCTAGATGGATCTTTGGGATGTCCGACATCGGTCTATGAGTCAATGACCCTGTTAGCTACTATATATACTAGTTCGAGGCCTCTTTCGTCCCAAGTCTAAGTGCATTCCAAGTCCAAACGCAAGCACCTCAAGCGCCCAGTTTAGGGGTCACCCAGAATAACTTGAGGTCTGCACCACGTTTTTGTTCGGGTGTTTTATGGACACCTCTGACTATGTATGTTCCATCCAGTAACCACCCCTGACTATGTGGTGGTATAGTGTTCCACTTGCGGGAGACGTTCCAATACTACATGGCATGTACCGTATGTCATACGTACATGGAGTGCTTGGGTATTGCGTATCTCTGTATCTCCTGGATCTCTTCATCTCTCTTCGCCAAAGGCACCAGCTCCGGCTCCGGCACTTCCGTCGCCTCGGACGCCTCGACACCTTCTGCCGTCTCCGCTGGCGCCGTGGTGGAAGAACCTGAGCGACAGCGGAAGTAGCGACAGACTCCGTTGGAGGGCTCAAAAAAAAAGGGAGCTGGTGCAAAGATCCCCCCCAACTTGCCCCAACGCGCCTAAGTGAACGCACAGCAACAGTGTGTGGTATCCTGTGGCCCCTTGCTTCCATTTGAGCCATATCTGGGCGTTACGACCAAAGATCTCAAATCCAGCAACACAACCGTGTTACAATAGCTGCATGAAATGTTCCGTTCATGGTTCCTTTGGCTCAAATTGCTCCAAATGGTTCCAGAATGTTCCGGACCAATCACGACGAATCCAACTGGTCTCAAGGTGTTCCACATTGCGACGCAACGATTTTGGGTACTTCTGATACAAAGAAACGTTAACATTCCTGTCGATGGCTCCAAGAGACCAAGTGCTTGGAACGCCAACTCCAGGCAGCCAGCTTCCTGAGTGCGAAAAGAAAAAACGACCGGGTGGGGAGACTTTCCACATCTGAAACAGCATGTGGCGCAGGGAAAGGTGTGGTGAAACGATTAAATGTTCTTCCGCATTTTTGGGTGTGTAGTCCAGTATTTTCATCGCAACCAATTGGTTTTTGTATGTTTTTGTCTTTTTCCTTCCTTCCAGGGGGTCTTTGGGACGTCTCCCTATATCCCTATTCAATAGTGGGCTGAGGTTCTCCAGTTTGGCATTGCAACTCAGAGAGCAAAAACAAGCATCAATAACCGTCAATAACCGGTAACGTTATAATAGCTTGAGTTTCCTTGACAGATTGTTCTCAAGACATGACCCATGCAAAGTCCAAAGAGGGCTCTCTCCCTGATCACTTATATATATATATATATACACGTTGTCTTTTAAACGAGAAGATCACCAACACATCCGACATTCTATCCAGTCTGCCCCTACCTCCCCTACCTCCAATGGCGCTGTCTCTTTTGTAGCCCGTCGCACCTCGTCTCCCAAAAACACCGAACACCGCTCCAAACCGTAACGCGTCGCAACGCGTCATAACGTCGGACGTCGCCCAGCGTCGAAGATGCGGAGCTTGTTCTCCGGATGCTTCGAGGCCAAGTGACACAGGGCGCCCAAGGCCTCGACGCTTCGGCGGTCACGTCGTGGCTCCCGACACAGGGCGGCACGTGCGGCGTGGGCGCGTTTCGGCTCGAGGCGTTAGACCTCGAGGTGTGGGATTTGGAGGTCCAGAAGTCTTGGATTTTGGGTCGTTTCGTTGGGAAAATCCTTCAGGGCGCCCCGGCGACCCGCTTTGCCGTATAAAACCCGACGAAAGCTTCCCGTTTTATGTGGTCTGTGTGGGCGCACGCCAACGGAACACATCAGAGGGTGCCTCAGTGGCAGCTGCCCGCAGCTGCTGGTTGGTGCTGGGTGCCTGGGACGAAAAGAGGAGTGACAATGGCCTCGACAGAGCTCTTCCTACACTCAGGGAATCCGTACACCAACAACAAAAACCGATGGTTTAAAGTCTGTTTTAAAAAAGGAGAAGTCTCAGCTGTACAGGACTCTTCACATATACCTTAACATCAGTACTAGTACCAATCATAGCCTTGATGCATCTTGATGCCCAGTTCGCACTTTCAAGCTTCCAGCATCTTCTTTCTCTCCCTCCCGGAATCCTCGCGTCGCCCCAGTCTTCAAGGTCTTCCTCCAGTGTTCCAACCGTCACCTATCTTGCCTTCCACCTCACCACATGGGGCTCCTCACAAAGGGAGGGGCTCTGTGCCACCCCGTCGGCCCGTGGCGCTCGCCTGAAGGCCTCGCAGCGCCAAGTCGTGCAGCTCTTCGATGCCACCAAGCCGCGCCTGTCGACAGTGACAGTCCCAGCGGTCGAGTCTGACGTCGGGAAGGGAAAAATGGTACATGTCCGGGCTTTTCGTTTGAAGAAGATCGGAACGATGGATTAAGGTTCTTATGTTTTTGTTGTGAGAATAGCTGTGAGGGGTAAGTAATAGACACGTCCAAATGATGGTGGAAACCAAAGAAGCTTATCGGCAAACTGGCAGACCCTGTTCGACCACTCAAAGGTTGACCTGGTTTGTAGTCGAAACTATGGTTCTTCAGAATTCAGGCCGTTCAATGAATGGTAGTTGGATTCCTAGACACTACAAGTAGTCACTATAGTCCAGGTGGGTGTCTAGATCCTGTCACAGAATGTCTACCTACCTGAAATCACTAGCGGATGGACGGAGCCCATCATTCTCCCTTCTCCGGCCCCGAGCAACTAGCACACACATGAAAGCCGGAGATCCTGGAAAATGAGGGTTTACCTAACCTTCCACCTGTTCTTGCGAAATGAGTGGGGAAACTAACGCCAATCCCCAAAAAGGATTAAATAATTATTAAAGGTTGTCTACGGGGTACTGTAGGAATCTGAAAAAGAGATATCCTCTACTGCCGAACAATAAGAGTCTCTATTTCTTGCCAGTTCCTTTCCCACCAGTCACCAGACCCCATCTATTTCACAGAAAGGAAGACAGAAAGAAAAAAGAGAAAAGCACCCCTATCCCAACTTCCCAACCCCTTCATCCTTCTCCCCTCACTGGGTTTCCCCACGATGAAGCTCTTTGTCTCCCCATGCGTGGCAAAGTGCCTCAGCGCCTGCGCCCCGTAGCGCGCGCAGCTGGAGGCCTCCGTCCCTCCAGCCGCGCGGGGAGGAGCGCGAAGCGCCTGCGCCACGCGGAGTGAGGTCCGGTTCTGCGCGTTGAACCGTTTTGCTGTTTGCGCTCGAACCGGGTGGAAGGGAAGGTCGATCCAGTCGTGGAGCATGAAACGTGTTTTCATGCGTCCACCGTGTTTTCTTCCACCTTCCTTGAAGATGTACTAATCCGGATCTATTTGAGGTCCCAAACCTGGAGATCTCATGGATATTATCACGATCGGTTTCGAGAGAATGATCAGCTTTGATGTTGACATGTGCCAAAAAAAGAACCTCCTGCATCCTCCTGCGCTGCTTTTTTTAACGACAAAGTCATACAAAGTCATAGGACCATCCTGATGAGGCCACCAAGCATATGGTCGAAAAGAAACGATGCCCAAACACTCCATGGGTGGCATATTGACCTATACATTGGAGTGGTTGAAAAGCAGTCAATGTAGGCAAATATTCCTCGCATGGAGTCTGGGATGAACGTAAGACTCGAAACCATTTCCCCGAGACAAACCCCACCATGGGACCGACTTGCTTGTCAGCCAAGCCAAGCGGTTTTTAGCAGTAATCCGATTGAACGATCATGTTCACAAGTGCTGCCACCTCTGAAGTCTGCGGATTGAATTTGTGGATTTGAAAGTTTCTGTCAGACCGTATCACATCAGCTTGAAGCTGTCCCTCAGCTTTCGCGACAGCGGCATCAGCGGTTCGTCGTGAGCTGCCTGCATCAGCAATTGCACCACTTTCTGCTCCACATCGACCTCCTGAGCAACTTGAGACGCTTCGAAATCATGAAGTAATGGAGCAAGCGGGACGCAACGCAGGACCAGTACTATCCAACTGGTGCACTTAAGTAATTGTGTATCGACCTGCACTGGTGCAGTCTTAAATTTGATTCACCTATATATATAGGGAATTCCGACAAATATAGATGTATTTGTCTTTACCGAACAACCATGGTTTTACTATAAGGTTTTTAGACTGTAACACCAGGTCAACCTTTCTTTTGAAGGGTTTCGAAGGTGAGGGTAATGATGTGCATGGAAGTGATTATGCCTCCAAACATAAAAGCTTCCAAGACTAAGAGTGTCTGGACACGACAAAACAGGATCAATTCCAAGCAAAAATGATGCGGATCAATAGCAGGACAGAATCCCTTGTCTCAATCAAGCATTGCAAAAGTTCTTGATGTTACAGCTTGAATTACCAGGCAAAAGCCACCAGCGACTCAGCAGCCCGGCAACCCTCCGTCGCATGCGGTGCTCCGCCTTGACCTCGTTGGCCAACTGCCCCAGGGCCGCGCAGCAGCTCCGCTGCAGCGGCTCATTCCGCGTGAAGCGCTGCATGGCCTTCATGAGCAGCTCCACGCCGCCTACGGTCCGAGTCAAGGAAAGAGAAGGAGTTTGGATATGTTTGGATGTTCTTTGATGCGATTAAGGGTGGTGAAATGTGACATAGCTCCAAACATAGAGTATCATCCAAACATAAACTCACTAGCAAAAGGCAGATTGTCCAAAATATGCGACTTCAACTTTTCCTCGTCTATAGTAAGATGTGTTAGATATAATGTATTTATGTAACCCCATGAATCTGGGTGAATCCGCCGCGTAGATCCTCAAATGCAAGTTTTGGAGATGATCAGCTGATCTGACCGGTGGAATCGGTGATCCCTTTTTAAACAAAGCGTCGAAGTAGGTCCACCCCGAAGCCTGACGCACTGAGGTCGACAGCAAGGACACCGACTTCGTGTGAAGCTGAATAAAATTGAAAAGAATGATGAGAAATCGATAGAAATTGGGTGTATATGTTCCTTCTCCCAATGGGTAGGTCTATTTTCCTTCTTCCAGGCGGTTTCTTTGCCCTCAAAGATGAAGCCATGGAGGCTCGGCGTAAGCCCGCAAAAGGGGTCAACGACCTCCACGTCTAACCACCACTCCACTCACTCCGGTCCCGCGCGGGTCCACGCCACTCACCACGGTCCCGCGCCGCCCCGTTCGGGGCCGCACCTAGCCGCGCGACCAGGCGCCGTGACTGGCTTCGCAGAAGCACGGAGCTCTCCTGGTTTGATGCGACGCGCGGGAGGATGGGGCGCGAGCCGCATGGAAGCCGAGAACAAGTGTATCCGTCGGCACCTGTACCGCACACGGCCATTCTGAAGAGCTTGTTGCTTGAGTCCCAAGTGGTAAAACATATAGTATGATGCATGTAGTGAGGTCAAGTCCCTCTTGTATCCCAAAAACCCTGCTCACCCACGTCCTGGTGCTGACCCTGGGCGTAGTCCGCAGAGACCTGCGCGCGACTAGTCACGCGGTAGTGGCGGTAGTCTGTTGTGGGTTTGGGTTGCGGGATTCGCTTGATGGAATGAGCCCAAACTCATAATCCAATCATCCCTTCCCTCGATCACTAGCCCCTCACCAATTTGCCCCCCCCCTTTTTCCCCTCGCGAGCGCCACACGTTCGCAATGCCCCACGGCGAGGTAGCTCCGCCGGTGCCGCTACCGGGCCTGAAGGCAGCCGAGGCAAAAGCAGATCCCCTCGGGAATTTCCTTGACTTCACAAAGGAATAGTCTTTGGACTTCTTGGGGTAAAGGCGTTACTGCTTCACAAACATGTCCTGGCGGAAGCAAGGACCCGAAGCAACAGAGAAGCATCTGAAATCGCTCGCGAACTTTGAGCTCCCAGTGGCTCCAACATTTGAGGTGCCGTAGAAACAATCTTGGTTATTATTGATGTCATCCTTTGCTATCTTTGCAAAGGCCACCATGAAGGCTTCTGGTTGGTTCAAGTACAAACAACTCAACTTCAAGTACAACAAAATAGCTCTCTCTTTGGCTATACCTGGAGAAAAACATTAATGTTGCATGCTCACAACATCTCACAACGTGTCGCAGAACTCCAACACCGCAACATGTCCTCCTAAACCTCGAGGATCTGTGGACCGCAGAAAAAAGAGACAAGACACGTGACGTATCCAACCACATCGACCACATCATCCCATCAGCTCACGCTGCTCCAAGCCACACAGCCCGTGGTGGGTTCCAACTTCGCGGTCAAGGCATGTCATGCGTGACCACCTGCCCCGGACGGTGCGTTCCCGGTTCGTGCATGTGTATTTCTGGGGGTGCGAAGAAGGTATGCTGGTGCTGTTTTTGGAGAAATCGTCCCAAGTTGGGGAACACTTCCAGGAGCTAGTCTTTTGAACTGCCACATTGTTTGATGTGTGTTAAAAGGCTTCATTGTGCCGATGCTTGGACCAGATGGACCCAAACCCGGATGAGTGACCTCGTGGAAGCGCGCTCTTTACGGGTCGGGAGGCTTGAGGGTGATCGCGTGATCTTTCGGATCGAAGCCACCTAATTCCTGCACACCCCCACAAGCCTCCATCAATTGGAAGAATCGATCTTCTCCAATCCATTCTCACTAATTTGTATATATTAGATTATATTAGTATCATCTTGGTATCCACAAATCCTCACAAAAGGCACAGGGAAACTGGACAAAAAGGCACACGTCATTCTTGTGAGGTTGGGTCAGATCCCAAAAGCGCTGGAACGGATTCCCTTCCAACCATGACTTCTTCGGTGCCCCAACTACGTCCGTTTTTTTTGGCCCTGGACCTTGGAACTACGTGAACCCGCTCTGTCCAGGCCTCGTGTTGCAAGTCTTCATTCAGCTTGAAGATAGCGCCCTTGTTTTGAAAGTCCTGCACGGATCTCGAGGCGCTGAAGATGGACAGGAGTTGGCCACCTGGAAGCGACCGGTCAGCGACGGCCAGTTACAAAGCAAACAAATAAGCCGGCAAAAAACTAAACAAACAATTGCAAAGCAGAGCAAACAAAAGAAAACAAAGCTAGCAAAGATGGTCAAATTGGATGTCAATCGGATGTCGGCATGTGAAGAAGGTCTTCCTCACAGCCGACCCGACCGATCGAGCGCCCGGACCTTTGAGCCACTCGTAGCCCTCCTCGGGGACGCCCTGCGAACAAATCCTCGGTTTCTCCGCAGAAGCCGAGACCGATTCACGGTCTGCTTTTGGGAGAAGGTTTTTGTTGGAAGGGGCTACGGGTTCGGAATGGGCTGAGTATGAGTTTAGTTTAGTAGTTCTCCTTCCTCTTCTTTCTTATTCTTCTTCTTCTTCTTCTTCTTCTGCTTCTGCTTCTGCTTCTGCTTCTACTTCTTCTTCGGTTAAATGTTCACCTCCAAATCTCAGTTTGCCCATGTTTGAGGCTGTTTCACTTCTCAACTCCCCCGGACTCCACAGGAAGACCAAACGTCTGCAGCGTCTCCAAACGATCAGTCTCGGTCCTTCGTGTCGATGCCGTACTCACTCTTGGACGGATCAATTAGACGCCATATCTTCATCCCTTTACCAGTAACTGTGGGTTGTTTTTTGGATTTCGTTAGTAAAGGCCTTTCGCAAAAAAAAATAGTGATAGATAGTGATATAGTCTTTTAACCACTGATAATGGGCTACACCCTAGCCATAGCCAAGACACAAAGCCCCTCCATCCAAGACCGTCCTTTCTTGGAACACCTGTTTGTTTGTTTGTTTGTTTGTTTGCTTTCCTGTCCATTGGGTCATGTTCATTCATTTTCTCTATTCATTGGTCGCACTTCTTGCGATGTCACGCTTCAGGCTCTTCTTCGACTCCAGCTCATTTCATTCTCGATTCAGAAAAGGAACATCATCTCTAAGTGGTTGCGCGTCAGAAACGTCTCAAGAACCTGGCCACAAAGCGCGCTTGTTCTTAAGCTACAGTCTCCTGAAAACCACGTCGGTTTGTGGAACTTCCAGTCTTTCCAGGTCCCATTCGACCCGGGTCCATATTAGTTTTCGGGAGTTGAGAAAAAGGTCCCTGATCGCAGCCCCTATTTACAGACCAATAATTGGTCCTTTAAGGTCTCCCAACCTCTCTTGGTACGGTTCGTTGGTTGGCCCAACAAAAACCAGCCATTTGGTGGTGTCGGAAGTATAGATCAAGTAAATCTTTGGGCAGAAACTGGTTTTCGGCCACTTCGAAGGCGCGACATTTCGACGAAGCAAGACATGATCTCGGTCGGGTTCGGAGCACCAAATCCGCCCCCCCATCCTGGAATGCATGCCACAGATCAAAACCCCAAACCGCAAGAACCACCCAAAGCCCAAAGGCGGACTGGCCTTTGACCCAAATGTGACGGTCGTGATGGAGAGCTGCTCATCTTTGGTGCCCCAGCCCTCCTCCGTTTCCTCGAAAGAAGACCACAGGAGATCACCTGGGAACGTCTAAGAACCCAATCAATGACTCCCTCGACTTTGTCCCGGGAAAAAAGGTGCTCAGCCACTCCCCCAAAAAGGAACAAGAAGCTACTAGGAACAAATGCATCGCTACTAGTAACAAGTGCCTTACTAGTAGTAACAATAAAAAAAAATATAAAAGGCTATCCACTGAGTAACTCTGAAACTCTTGGCATCTCAACTGTCCAACTTCAAACAATCTCGGTCTGGTGGCCGGATTGAAATCGGTGTTCTTCAGAAGTGTTTGGATTCCATTGATCCACCCCAAAAAAAGGACGAAACACATGCGGAATCATCCGTCAGCCCACTTCAAACCCAATCCTTAAATGCCTTGTTGTGTGAAGTTTGTCGGCAGCTGCTGGCCAACAAGTGTGTTATGAGTTATGATGGAAAAAATGGTGCGGTCGTGATGAACATTCCCAGCCCCTTGGACGTTTCGTTCGGTGTGCCATGAAGAAGTTCAAAAAGAGTATGTATTATATATAAAATATGGTAGTAGCGTAGGTTCGATACACCCCAATAAGCATCACATTTGCAACCTATGCTGCTTCGGTTGAAGCCGAGCATCCTGACTATACTTCCTGCTGTTTCACTTGCCGGTTTGCGTGTCCACATACACCTCCAGGTCTCTGTGAACCACATGACGAGGATGCTTTTTGATCTTGGCATTTGGGTGTGCGAACCGTTCAAAACGATGGTTTGCTGAACACAGCGGTAGGATCACCCACCTCGGACCTTCAGCAAAAACATCAGAAGTAACCGTTTGTTTAGGCATGTTAAGGCCATGTTGCATGCCTTATTCCCACGGATGCCTCTCATTGGCCATCAACGATCCGCTTGAAACGTTCCCCCGTTCTCCGAACGTCCAATTGGACGTTCATTGGATTCATTTTGTACGGGTCCAACCCACCCCTGGGACGAAGCCAACGATCTCCCAAGCACAACCACGTCATTAATACCGCACACGCAACATCAAGTTCCGAAAACACCCTGGACTGGACTGTACCAAATTCCCAATGAAAAAACTGTCGACAAATTCCAAGAAAAAGCAGCGCGTTGCACAGAGAAAACCAGTACAGGAAATCACAAGTTTTGACCAGTACAGGAATCTTGATGCAAGATTGAAACATACACTCACCAGGACGACTTCCTGCACTCTACAAAAGCTATGAGTCCAAGTCTTTGGGATCAAAAAGAACAACCTCTGCTTACTCTGCTAGTAATGCCTGGGTTGTCCAAGCTAGAGATGTCCAAAAAATTGACAAAATTGACATTGGAATTTTAGAAGATTAAGTTTCAGGAACCACCCATTCACACACTCTCCAGAGTTTGTGCCTAGAAGACGGCTGTCAATGCGAAACAGCTAACAGGACTCAAGCAAAGCCTCCTTTCAAATTTTAAGCAGGGACTCGCTAACTGCCACATGTTCAGCTTTAGCCATTTCCACAGGAAACACCGTGATGCTTGTCCTGAAGCTGCGCCACTCATACTCGCTAAGCTGCAATGCGCAAACCACCTCGTTCAAATAGCTCTCAAAACCAGACTTCCTTCTCAAAAAAGCAGCCGCTGGCCAGACTGGCCAGCTCGCTTTCGGTGTTGATGATTAGCTCCCTTGGGTGAATTCGTGATGGTGATGGATGCTCCGTCGCTGTGTTCATTTTTTAAGGGGGGCGGGGGCAGGAGGACCGGCTGGTGAGATGGGGACCCACCACCCCCACCGTTGCGCTCGAACGGCTCGAAGTGGACTTCACAAGAAAAAGCGGAAGAGTCGAGTCGAGTCGCAAAGCAGGCCATCAGACGGCACATCTGTAGGTCTCTCCAGATCTCCTCAATCGTCTTTTGAAGCGTCCAAGATCGCTGTGGGTCATGGCACCCGGAGACCGACCAGGTGAAGCTACATGGTGGAGCGAAGCTCCAAGTTGTGATCTATCCCCCATAGTGAGTGATGGACCAAATCTCTGGCCACGGAGGGATCGGCCCCAGGGGGGGCAGACCCAAGCGATAGAGATCCTGC